TATTATTATTATTATTAATTAGTATTTTTTAATAATACATTTTGTTGAAATTGTCAATTAATACATTTAATGTAATTAATTACCTACTAATAATAAGAATTAATACATTTAATAGTACCTTTCTTGCCGTTCGACTTTTTTACTTTAAAATAATCAATACAATTAAATTATCTCATTTAATATTAGTTGTATCAAAAAATTTCAAGAGAAAAAAAAAACCTTATCTGTCCAATAATGCTGCACAAGCCATCAAAATAAGGAGTTAAAAATACAGGGTGACACAAACAGCGACTACCCCTACAGTACACCACGTCGTAAATGCATTTTTTTGATTTTTTTGATGTTCACTTCAAAACATGGCTATTTATTAGCATTGGTCGGGTGCCAAAAAAATATCTTCAGGCATTTAGGAGAAATTTGTATTTGTATTTTTTTTGTTTTAACTTTGAGCGACTGTAACACGTTAGGGGTGCACTTTGGTATCTAGGTAAATTAATTCAAACAGTCTATTTTGACCGCTAGTTTCTGCCCTATAAGGTTAACTACATATTTTAAAATCACTGTATAGTAATCCGAAATATCCGAGAGCTAATAAGTAGGATACACTCGTATGCCTCCTATAAAAAACTCGCCTAAATTTACATAGCCTCTGTGAATACACCGACATACAGACCACTAGAAGGTGGACAAGCATCGCGAGCATTCCTCGGATGATCACTCATCTAAGTACTAATCGCTATCAGAGTTTGCTTGTCTTTTCATATCAATGATATGAAGGCCAAGTCGCTAGGCCGCACTTGTCTTATAAGATCTCTTCGTAGCAGCTGTTTTTACATGATTATTATTCTTAGCCAAGATTGATTATGAAAACACTATGAATGCAAGATATTTCTTTGAATGATTTATTATTTAATAATTTCAATAGGTACCTCAAGTATTTTGTATTAATTATATTTAGACATATCATTTTTAGTTTTTATTTTTGATAATTATTTATTACTAGCTGTTTACTAGACATTGTCGTGGTATAATTCAGTGCTAGTTGGGACATAGAGTAGCTGTTTCCAGCAATATCAGCAGTTAGGAATCTTGTCTGGGATTGCATACGTAGATTTCTAATATGGAACGACTTTGTTTCATTTTTTAGAAAACATTTTTGAATTTGTTGAATTTACTTAATACCTTTGAATTATCTAAACGTATCATCTTTACTAATTTCTAATTTGCATGAAATAATAATAGTTGATTCACTCAGTTTCTATGGTAATATATGGCTTTCCAGCATTTTCAGATTGGTTGATTAGAATTTCGTGAAAAATTATAGCAATCACAGCGGGTGAAACAGAATGTTGTGTTTTAATGTAATCTTGATCTTATCCTTTTAATAATTTTTAATTCTGTCGATATATAATTGCCAAAATTAATGTTTTTTTATGAAGACTATGTATATATTTGATGAAATAAATGTGATCTGTTTTTCAGAGGGATCAAACTGCAAATCACCTGACGTACCAGATGGGACATGTACGAGGGCGACAATGTGTCCTCCAGCAATTGAATCTCTTAAAAGAACTCATTCTTCTGGGTTAAAAAGATGCGGGTTTGTTGATAGAGACGAACTAGTTTGTTGTCCATCGGTTAATATCAGGAAACCTGATGATAATGACCTTACTTCGACAGAAATTGATAACATATTTACTTCAACAGAAGATAACAGTAAACCAACAAGATTTATTAAAAGAAAATATGAACAAGGTAAGATTTATTATTACTTTACCCTGAAAGCTTAAAATTTTTCTTAAATTTTTCATTAAATAATTATTGATTTTTATTAATATTAATAATTATTTAAAATAAAAATAAGAGAAAAATTTATTCAAGTCACAGCTGAATCCGAAGTCAAAATTTCCGGATCGATTCGTGTTTTGATCCTAATATCAAGACACTCTAGAAAGCGGTTTTTGAGATTTCAAACTGACTTGAGTAGTGAGTAATTGAAAAAGCAATCGAATTAATGATTTCATTGTACCATAGTCCCTGAACCATATAATCCAGGATATCCTAAACTACAAGACTGTGGGTTGGTAGGTTTTAGGCCAGTCAAATTGTAGAAAATACCTCGTTTTTTGCCAAAATTTAGTTCAGTAAACAATGACACGTAAAAATCAGGAAAAATTCCGTAGAATTGAATGAACTACTTTACCCCAGCTGAATGATAGGGCTTCATTTTCAAAATGGCGTTCAAAGTTCGCAAAAAATTTAAAAAACAACTGAACAATGTAGAAAAAAAAATTTTTCAGGCAAAAGTTGTAGAACTTTTTATAACAAGAATTTTGAGCCCAGTCAGATGTCGATTGATAAACAAATGTTGCAAAAAAACTGCTAAAAATCGCATTTTTTAAAAACTTCTATATATTTAAATCGAAAAAAGATTATTTTTACGAAACTTTCAGAATATGTAGTCCTTGACAAGTAGAAGTGCACTTTTGTAAAATATCAAAATATTTTATAGTATTTGCGAGTTTTTCGTTTCAATAAATCATACAGTAATGCACTCACGTGACCCATTTTGGGCTTAAAATTTTCTCTAAGAGTTGTACTTTCCTGTATTAATTATGCGCGTATTGCAAAATAATTGGAAATATGTGAAAAATGTACCGAAACTTTGACTTCTTTTTTCTGGTCGAAAAATGTTGGTCTTTTTCTTATCGTTGAAATTTAATCGGAATGGCATTATTGCCATTTGAAAGCTGACATTTTTTTACGAATTAAAAAAAATGTCCTACGACTAATAGGAGCCGAATGCCGTCGCCTTATTGGGAGCACCTGGGAACTGAAACCAAAGATGTCATACTGGTTGTATACATGAAAAATTTTAAGGAATTTGAAGGTCATTGTGTTTTGCAAGTACCCCAAAATGAATACTGCCAGTGTGTACAGTAGCTACTTAGATACAATGCGCGAAATAAAATTCCAACGTGTGGGGGCTGAAGTGGATAATCGATCAACCAACCCAGTTAGGATATAATTATGTAGATTACTGTAATAGTTCATTCTGTATAGTTTTTGAAGTTCCTTTAAAAACATGGGCATCACTAAGATGTTTATCTAAAACGGGATCAATTTTTGCACTATAGCCTACTGTCAGTTCTAAAAATACCCCTTTGTTTACCGAATCACTTTTTGTCCACGAAGAGAAAGGTTACATGTACCACATAGTTTTAAGATATTTAAAATTTTTGAAAGAAGCAATCGATTTTTCTTAACTGTTTCGTTATGACTATTTACTATTTATTTGTTCTGCATAAGCACTATTTAAACAAGAAGCAATATTTACTCTTCCTAAAAGTAAAAAACTCACCAACTTATGTTTGTGTTTACGAGAATTTTCATGTTTCTTAATTTTAATTTCTAAATGTTTCAAGTCAGAAACTCCAGTTTTCGTCCAGTTTTCGTCCAGTTTTCTTCGCCTCCTCCAAACAATAAACATACAAAACAAAAAAATCTATTTGTTTGGTCACAACCACACAACCACAGGGTCTCATAAATGTTTTTATCAAATTTGCGAATGCCGGCCCACTTTTTACACTCTTTCTGCACCTCAACTAAATTCAACACTGGCGTTGGACGGCCGTTATTTTTCAATTCGACTTTTTCCTCTAAACTAAATTACTAATAACAAGTTTTTTTATTTCACAAACCCTCATTTTAAAATTAAACTTATAAAATATAATGTCTTAAAAAGCGCCAAAGCAAAAACAAAACACATATAACCACACTTCAGTGATACGGGTTACTGCCTCATGGAGTCCCAAAACAAAGCGCGTGAGCGCGCGAACCTATCGTCGCCTATCCCCTCCACGTGCCAATTTGTCCAATCATATGTAAAAATATGCTTGCACGATGGACTCAGATTTCATGGTCCGCAATGGAGTGGAGATTGCGCGCGCGGTTAAATATAACTCTTTGGTACGATCATAGATGGCAGATGGCATTAATCTGAGCTACGTTCACGGAGTACATGCACTTTATGCAACCAACCTAACATCCATTGATTGCATGCTATTTAGATTTCTTATTGATTTAAATAAATACATTATTTTAAGTTTATTGTTTGAAAATATCTGGGGGGGGGGGGGGCGGAGTCCCAGAGTCCTCCTCCATGAGCCGCCACTGGGAAAAACTGAATAGAATTCAGAGCTGCACTAGAAGTCATACTAAATCTACCACCGCTGCATATAGTGGTAGAGAGAGAAGCGCGGCTAGCAGCATATCGAGTCAGGAATAACAATGACTGGAGGGGTAGTTCCTATTCCAGGATCATGGACACATCTATGTTGGAACCAATTTTTGGGATGTATCTGACAAGATGGTTCCAAGGTTTCACTTCTACAAGCCATTTGGGACTCGAATAGAGGATCAAAGCAAATGGGAGGAAATATTTAATACCCTGCAAAGGTGGAGGCTACTATGGTTTACAGATGGCTCCAAAATGACCAGAGAGACGGGTGCAGGAATATATGGACTCAGACCCAGATGGAGTGCAAGCTACAGTCTGGGGGTTCCCTACCGTATTCCAAGCAGAAATTTTCGCGATAATGGCGTGTCTGGTAGATAATGTACGTAGAGGTTATAAACGTAAACTCATATATACAGAGTGATCCAGAACTTATCAAAAAAAAAAAAAATTCTGGATGTACAGGGGACCCTTAGAAATACAATTTTGTAAAGAAAAAATCAAAAAGGGCAATTCGAAAATTACTTAAAAATACACTTCTGCACGACACTGGAAACTGGTCCACTGTAAAACCTGACCTCGCACAATGCGACCGGCATGACGATGTGATAAAAACGGACAAAAACTTTCGCAAGGAAAGAAATATGTAAATAGAATTTTATCGAACCTATTTTATATCGGCAAATTCAACTGCTTTTGCCTTTATTAATTAATAAAATTAATTTGTGTTTTTAAATAATAAAATCATTTGACATACCCGATGTTACAACAATTGTTCAAAATTTTGGTTCCGTTGTACTCAGTTTCTACGAACTAACACAAATCACAAATGTTGTGTTGTTTCACCATGAATTAAAACGATATCCATCAACTCCGAGTACACGGACACTAACTACCCATTTTTGACACTAACTACTAAAAACCTGTTGTAAACACAGATAACAGGTAAATATCGCAACGACGATTGCAAAATCAGTATTCGGAGTCGCTGAGGCCACGTGGCGAATGACGCTAGAGACTACAGTTGTCCAGCTATGTAGTGGTTGAATGTACTATAACTTCAATATCTTTTTCTCGGAAACTATAAGGATTTTACAAAATTTTTTTTTACGATATTGATTCCATTTCTCATGCTACATCTATTTCCAAAATTTTTTGGAGAAGTTGTGAATCACCCTGTGATAGTCAAGCTGCAATTAAAGCTTTAGGCGTACACAAGATAAGTTCAAACCTGGTGTGGGATTATTTACAAATGCTGTCTGAACTGTCCACCAATAATACAGTTAGACTGTGTTGGGTGCCAGGGCACAAATGGACTAGGCGGTATCTGTTTTGGTTTGGGTGAATCGTATATCCACGGAGATTTTTGACTTTTTGGCTTTCAAATATCACTAGAAATGAAAATTTTTCTATGCGCATAAAAAAAACGTGGGCTTAACATTTGGCGGCACAATATGTTAAAAAAATCGAAAAATTTCATATTTTTCTTCATATTTAATTATGTATCTTTCCAAGAGTTGATTTTAGGCGAAAATGGTAGAGGAAAAAAATGTTTGTAATTAAATTTTTTACAAAACAACTAGTTACAAATCGAATGAATCATGATTATTATGGTAAAAACAGAAAAAATCGCAAAAATGGGGTTAAAAAACAATACGTTTTAGGAAATTTTTTGGGGTATTTAAATCGGGTATAGCACTTTTTCGTGAATTTTTGCTATTTTTGACCTGCTTTTTGAGGTTAGGAAATTCCTGTGATGTGATAGCTCAATTCTGACACCGGATTCGTGATCAGGTGGCAAAAATACTACGGATAACATAAGTCGCATGAAAAGTAGAGACAACTTTTTTTGTGTGTGTGGCTGTGTTATTAACCAAGCTCTTCATATATGGCCACAGAAAAAACTATCGGCTTAAGGTTCTGTCTTCTTGTGGTCGGGGGCCTGTTCAACGCTATGTATATTAAGTACCCCAAAAGAGCAAACACTTCACATCTAAATTAGGCAGGTGCTTTGCTGTGCATGAACTAGGCCTTCCGTAAGGCACCTTTAGACAAATTCTCAAATAATGTATCTTGCAGAAATCGATAATTTTGTCCCTCTACTCCTTTTAAAATTTTGTGAATCTCTTTTTAAGCTATCTTTACTTTTAAAATTTTGAAAATTGTCACGAAAAAATATAAAGTAAGCTGGACAATATTGTCAAAAGTAAAAATCTTAAAATTCAGCAACAGGCTTGTAGAATAACAATAACTGTTATTAGCTATTAAAAAAATAGAACAAATGTTTCAAAGTAGAATTTCTAAACAAAACTTCAATAGAACGTATCAGTTTTATTAAACTAAAATATGCTTTCTCAGTCTTTTTAAACAGTCTATAAACATTTTAAGTTATAATAGTTTTAATTATGATATAAGCAGCAATATATAGAAAATATATCTAAAAATAATAAGTTAGAGTTGTTGTTTCAGTGAAATGTAAACACCTTATTCTATCAATTACGGGACATAATAACATTGT